ATATATATATATATATATATATATATATATATACTGTGTGTGTGCGTGGACTTGTTGATGGTGTAGATCAAATCAAGATAGTAGCACTGATCTGCAGGGTACACGTGGAGTAAGGATGCTGCCCCATACAACAAGGTTGAGAGGGGAATACCCCAACGCTCCCCGCTGGCATCATTCCGACCGCCATGATTGCATCTGAGCCCACGCATCACGGCCAAACGAAGGGATGTGATCATTCCAGGTGTGGGGCGACGAGCGGAGCCATACGATCCGATCTGACGGCGGAAGGCGCCTTATCATGGCTGCAGTGCCACTCTTAAAGCGGCGACCCCGCTCCGTCTCCTATTCGCTTCTTCGTCCTCGTTGCATCAAAATGGCTTTGACTCTGTGTTGGGTTCTCTTTCGGTGGCTGAAGAAGACTTCGTATCGTTGCGAAGCCTGTTCTTGAAATCATCATATTCACAGGGTAGCATATCACTAGGTATGGTATCAGGGTGCACTAATAACGTACAAGATGACTCATAATAGATGATAGAATTCAACGTTTGACAAACATCGTATGCACGAGAAATGTGAATTGAATTCTAAGTCTGAAATTTATGACAATTCGTGTGTGGTTGAAAGCTCGATTGTAAGACGGTATGACGGGTTCGATCTCTCTCTCTTTACGGATAATTCATCTTGAAAAACTCATACAATTGATTTCAACATCGGACATGAACGAACATATGGTTCTTAACTTTGTGTGAGAAGGGGGTGCATCAGTTAGCTTATGATCACTCTAAGAACTGAAGGAAGAGTGTATCACTGCACCATCCCTTGTCTCACGGTGACCTTGGCAGGGACATCAGTCATTGTTCATGAGTGCAAGTCCATGCTTGTGTTGGTCGATGTGCAGCTTCTTTTTAGAAGCTTCACAGGACTCCACCTGCAGGACAGACACTCAGCTAAAACAAAAAGCCTGCAGTTCTCAGTCAGATACACTCTCCACTGAAGTGAGTCAGTCTTTAATCTTCCTAGTATTAATCTTGTGGGACTCTCTATGACCTAATCAATGGGAGTTCGATGAAGGTGCAGTTAGCCTTGGATGCTCAAAGTTTGCAAGAGGTACATCAAAATGATGCATTTCTTGTGGGATTGATTGCAGTGCTTTAAATGTTCACCAAAAAAAGAAACATCATTTCTAAGGAGGATGCCTGATTTCAGGGGCAGAAAGCCTAACCATGAGGGAGGGATCATAAACACACCAGCACTAACATTGCCAATATTTTATGCAATGTAAATGATGGTTGGACACTATCATGAGCATTAAAAGGATAAGCAACAAATGCAGATCCCCAAACAGCACAGCTTCTCAAATAAAGCTGGCCATGGAGCAGACTTCACCATGCATGTCTAGTACTGAGAAGCAAAAAGCCTGCATGGAAGGATCAGCACAATTGAGGGAACAGCAACAGAGAGTTTAGTCATCAGGCTTCGCCAGGTGAACAGTCACACACCAATTCACCTGCCAAAGCCATTTCTGTAAGAAGAATGAGGTGTTCCTAGTTAGACACAGGTACATCTGCACCATCTCATGCACTATGCTCATGCTGGGAGCAAGTCAAAACTAGAGAGTGGCTTATGAAAGGTGTGACCTCAGTATGACCACAGAAGAGCAAAAATAGAACACCAGCATCACAGCCTAATTCTCCATCTGAACCCCATCAACTGTTCAGAAACAACCAATTAAAGGAATAGGACATGTACGATTTTTCGTCGACAACGATCTTTGTGGTTTACTCCTAGTTCCTAAAGAGAGAGGCCCTTTCAAACTTGGCTAATTTTGGGTGGCTTCCATTGTTAGTATTCGGATGAGAGATAAGGACACACGAACAAAATTTTCAAACGGGAAACTAAAATTAAAACAGATCTAAACAGCAAGCCAGATGTTTAGGCATACAGTAATAACAAGACAGAAACACCAAATACATACACGATCATAAGTCGTTTACGTCTCTAGGGAATCTTAGCTAACAGTCTTAGCAGCAAACAGGAAATATAACAGTTACCGGGCAAACTTGTTAATGTTTTCTTCTCAAGGAGGGCCTACAGACATCTGATTCACATCTGCTTTCATAAAAGGGTCAGCAATGGCCCCTAGTTACGGTTCCTGCATTTCTCCATGGCCCTTGGAGCTGCAAGATAATAGATCACATTTGGTTAATACATATTTAACTTCGCTTTTGATGATGCCATAACAAAGGCGCAATTTCAATGGTACAATTAAGTAGAAGCATTTGCAGATAAAAAGTCAAACATAAAGGTCGTGGAACTTCACCACCTAGTATATTTAACCATGAAGATGGCAAATCAAGAACAAAATCCATGCTTTAAGCAGTGGTCAGAATAAAGGTAGTATCCAATGACTACACAACAAAATATACCATAGAGCTAAAAGGTTCAAGATGTATTGACCATATTATAAGAGGCTGTTTTATATTAGAACAGAAAACTAATAGCCCATGAACAAGTGGTGAAAGCTTAATCATAATACATCAAACCATAATGTTAAATCAATTACCATATGTATCTACTTATCATAGATGAGATGTAAAGCAACAAATATATCTAAACAATTTGTGTAAAAGAGACCCACTAGCCCATAACTATAGTTTACTTTGTGACAATAGCCAGCAGACCGCATTATCTGGGAATCAAGTTTAATAAATATCAAAGCTTTATGACTCCATTAGTTAATATTTCACGAAAGTTAAGTAACCAGAAATATAGAAGCACATTAAGACCCCAGGATAAAGTATGTTGAAGATCAGATATACAATAGTTCGTCAATTTTGCCTGCTCATACTTACCAAGTCCAATAGCATCTGAACCCTTCATTATCCTCAGCCTCCTGCAAGAGTCTGTGAACATCCTGAAATTTCAATTTGAATACAATCAGTCATTTGTCAAGCAACAAAAGCAATATCAAAATGGCACACACACACACACACAGAGGGGGAGAGAGAGGGGGGGGAAAATTTTGTGGTTATCTGTACTTTATTTGTGTGATATAACTCAAATTGTTAGTAGTAGTCAATGGCAAAATTTGTGGAAAAATGGAAATGGGCAATTATCTGTGCAAGCTGTACTACATGTTTACAGTCTTTAAACTTTTGACTCTAACCATTAAGTTCACAACAAGGAAGTTTGTACTTACTCCCAGGGCACATCCCCAACAAGCATCCAGTCACCATCTCTGTCTTCATAAGTGAGCACATATTCAGATCCACTCAGAAAATCCATCAGCCTGCTCTCAGATAATCCATCTCGTCCTGGTATTCCATGAGAACCACACTGCCCTGTAGTAGCACAAATTACAAAAAGCAAGTAAACTCCTCCCCATACCAACACAATCTCAGATTTCAAAAATGTTCAAATCCAGAACAACTAAAGACATGAACAAGAATTATTCTTCAGTTTTACAAAGTAAAGCATGGTTGTACCCAGATAAGTCAATCAAAAGGTCAGAAATCTTTAAGGAACTAAAAAATTCATGACGTGAAGATACTATCATAACATCATGAATACAGCTGAATTTTGTTTTTAAAACAAAAAGGAATCACAAGAACAGTACCTTTGAATTGGAACTACCAAAATCCCATTTCAAAACCATCCACTGGCATGGATTTCACCAACCAGTGGTGGGGTCCAATCACCTATTCAGAATATGAACAGTTGGGACCATGCTCTATTCCACACAAGGATTAGAGAGATTCGCAACCACATGGAAAACAATCAAAGTAGGATCGTGCGACTCAAATATTGCTTCAAATTATTGCTTAGGAAAAGAGAGCAGTAACATATGACCCTTAACACGTTCCAGAAATATGCCATGAAGAAAGACCTACATACAAGGCTATAATGGCCTATCTAATTTCAGTTTTTGTATGAAAAAGCAAAAAGAAAAGAAAAAAAAATGCAAAACATAATGGAGCCTTAGGCAAAGAATATATTTCCCTTTATGTAAATGTAACCAATGCAAGATATCAGTTCTAAAGAAATGTATAAAAAGCAAGGAATCTACAAAAAAAAGAAAAGTGACTTTATAGTTGTAAGAAAATAAGCAAATAGGTGACTTTATGCCGACTAGGAATGCAACAAAACGTATACCAAACATGGAGCCTATAAAAGAGTAAGAAAACAATTAGGATGAACTGATTACAAAAACATGAATGTTTCCTGAATTATTACAAACACAATGGAGAAAAGTAAGAGCTCACCAATGGTGAAGCCACTAAACATCTTCTCAAGTGCCAAGGAGAACTCCTTATAATTGCTGTATGTCTTCAGGTCAACTTTCCTAAGATATGGTGCTCCATCCATGCTGACCTTGACATAAAGACAACCTAGACCTTGTTTCCCATTGGCATCTTCTTTGTTCTTTGAGGGATTTGTAGCCATAGTGTTTTTACGGTAGCTGCGGATCGGTGGCCAACCAACCACCTGTGCCCTGATACAGCTTACACCCATCATTAGATGTGCTAATCAGATCTAAACAGAACTACACTTTTTATGATCTTGTTACCAATTTGAAAATTTTATCCAAAAAAAATCAGGTCTGCCTTTCCAAGCATAAAGAGGCAACATAATAAAAAAAAAATTCATAGAGCAATTGAAATTGAAATGAATTTTTTATTTTCTACCAGGGAATTTATAGCTCAGGGAAAATCTTATACTGTTTAGTGCATCATTCAAGATCATCACAAACAGGGAACTGGTAGTAAGACATCCAACAGCTGAATGAATGACATAAGAAAAATACGAAAAAGAGGGAAACAAAATTCCTTCACACACTAAAGCTTTAATGAAGAGAATATTGGCAACATCAAGTAATAATCTGAAAAGGCCAGAAAAAGGGAAAAAAATCTTGAAATTAGGAATTGCATTAGATTCATGAACCATAGAGCTCTTACCCATAGGCAAACACAGACTGTAATCGAAGTATGTAAGAAAGCTCTTCAACCACAAGCCAAAAGTAAAGACCTAATTTTCCCATTAATCCTATGATATCATTCATTTCTTTTGACCAATCATAAGAAAAATCCTATGATATCATTCATTTCTTTTGACCAATCATAAGAAAAATTCAACTCATATTTTCCCTAGGAAAAAAAAATCATCACCTTAGCACAAAAAGTCACACACTCCTTAAGAAAAGCATTTCCACCAAATAGGCCAGAGAAAACGAAAAAAAAAAATCACAAATTTCAGCTAAAAATCTCAACTTTCTGTCAATCAGAAGAGCTCCGACTTCAGTTGGAGACACTTACTTGGCAGCAGGCGCAACGCCACGGTCATTACCAGCGGAATCTCCAACCTGCCCGGTGTCCTTCGGTTCATGCCCAACCGCCTTCCCCACCGCATCGTTGCCCGCATTCCCGTGCCCCCCGCCGCCCCTCTCCCCTCTCGGCGAGAATAAGGCGCCACCTTTCCCGGCCTCCACTTCGGATCCACCCCCTACAGCAGCGAGGCCCCACTTTCCGGCCCCGTCGATGGTGTCAGAGAACCCCCTCTTGGCGCCGGAGACGAAGATCTTCGGGAGGAGACCGAGGGTGAGGGCCACCTTGTCCTTCCGGTCGGAGGAATCGGACCCGGGGAGGCCCAGCCTCAGCTCCGTGTCCTTCAAGTTGAGCGCTCCATCCTCGGCTCCTCCGCCGCCCACGACGGCGGCGGCGGGTGAGTGGAGCTCCGAGAGGCCTATGTAGTCATGCTCGAGAGGCGGTGACATCTACGTCCTCGAACAGCACCAGCAACCATTAAAAGTGGTGAGCTTGAGAGAGAGAGAGAGAGAGAGAGAGAGAGAGAGAGGACAGAAGAAAGAGAGGCGAAGAAGAGAGAGAGAGCGTGTGTGAGTAAGCGAAGAAGAAAGAATATTCCAAGTGGTGAGAAGGAAATATAGACGGAAGAAGCAGAAGGAGAAGACGAGAACTTCTACTTTGGTTGGGGTTCGATAGAGGGAGATAAGTTTGTTGCCTTCAAATATTTTATTTCATTTATACTTTTATTAGCCATATCATAAATAAAGTAATTGGATATATAATATCCGTAAGTGTAGTATTAACAACGGAAAGAAAAATAAAGGATAAATGTCATGGAGAAAAATAAAAGGAAAATATAACAACACTTAATTCGCTAATCATGGAAATTGCATATCATTTTGAGAATATTACAACAAGTAATATTAATTTAAGATGGACAAGGTATAGGAATGAAGTTAAGAAAAGAGACAGGCTAAGGGAGCATCAGTCTTATCATATCATCAATTAATCAACATCTATTCCTATATTCTTTATAATGTAGACATAAATTAATTACATGGATTCTCCACTTCATTTAACTACATGCACTTGTCCTGAAACAGGTATAGTAAATTATTTATCTTGCTAGTGTGGTAGAATCTCTTTCTGCTACCTGGTAGACTGCAATAGTTTGATACATAAAATATATGAGTCATATGAGCATCAGATGCACCACTTAATTTCTATTTCTGAAGCAGTAGAGCACCAAGTACAAGAAATACTAACTGATTGGTGCAAAAGAAAATGTTATACACATATTTGTAAGACTGTTTGTTTGCATGATTTCAAGATTCATAAATTTTAAGTACAAATAAATCTCTTTTTTTTTCCTTTTTTATGTTCAATCTTCACTGGAAACAGTCCCGTAAGTTGTTTGACATGGTGAAGCAAATTGAGAGCCAATAGGGAAATAGAACACTCTACAAAAAATACATACTTTTCATGCTTGTGACATATGCTGATCAATAGGAAGGAAATGTACAAGCAACATTCCCAACTTTCATAATCCTTACAGAACCTTTTGTTTAAATCTTTTAAGATATACCTTTTTTTTTTTCGCCAGTTTAAGACAGATTTATGTAGCTGAAAGAAGAAAAGAAAAGATGGTGGCATGCAGCAGCTTTCAAAACTATATTTCACAATATTGGAATAGTACCCAAAATTAGACAAAGAAGCCAAAAGGCAATTTGTTTTTTTGTGTAACACCAAAGCATGCTGATTCCCTGCAACTAATGACATAAAGATTGATGTCCCATCCATACATGAATGACATGGAATCTTCCTTTATTTTTCTATCATCTTTTCTACTAAACTTTTGACATTAGAATTAATAGAATTAAAAAAAGGAAAGGGTTAAGTAAAAAAGAGGACTGTCTTTTCCAAGAGAATTTTGTGAACTAAGATGAACTTTTTGTTCCAGATGCTCCAGTCAAAATGTGGCAAATGTCAATGAAAAACTTGCTTAATTAAGAGTTGGCTAACTGTACATCCCAGACCAGAATGTGACAGTGTGACCCATCAATAGCTTGTCTAGTTTCTGTGTTTGTCTCTCCATCACAATATCAATTCAAACATGTCAGTTACTCCAAACAGTTCCCCAGTAGAGGAATCCTTTGATCTATTGCATACTGCTATAATTAGTGTTAAGATATAATGATGCAATGCCATTAGGCCCAATCTTTCTAAATTAGGGGTATTATTTTATGATAAGTGTCACAAAAAGCAGCTTTACACCCAACATGACCTCGATTAAAGTATAAGAATGTCGCCTACTCCTAGTAAATATATCCAATCAACCTGCTAATCTTGTTCTGTGTTGATAAAGTAACTCCCAATTGTACTGGAAAATTGTTCTAGTGGTGCTTAATATTGATTGTAGTGCTATGATATTGTCTGAATAGGTCCCAATTGATGCCTAAGAATGAAATGCTACATCAACAACCAAAACTTCTTGTGGTGCTTGGATCTTCCAGTAGATCACAATCCTTAAACAACTATATTTGCATGTTTATGGGAAGCACTGGAAAGAAAAAGTATAGAATGAGAAACAAGACATATTGCTAGTAGATAAGGCTAAATTATTTGGCAAGCTGCTTTTTCCTCTCTTTTTTTGCCAGAAAGAAAAGGTAGGTTTAGTAGCAAACAAGAAACAAGATGGCTTCAAGTACAAGGTTGGACATTAGTATTGCAACAGCTATGAAATAGTTTAGCCAATTGACAACATTAAACTTCCATGACATGTTTTAGCCTAAGCAATTAACAAAATAAAAAAAATGTCAGCCTTAATTGTGATGTTAATATCATGCTAATAATTGTATAAGGAAAAAAAGGCTCCCGACATATTAATAATTATATATTTCTCCAAAATGTTTAAACATCTTTTCTCTAAAAAAACTAGATATGTCAGTAAAATTGACCTTAAACACCTAAACTCAAACAAATACAGGCCTTTTTTTTGCTCCTGGTCACATCAGAACAAGAATAGCTTTGTTAGTGGACTATCATGTAGCAATCTTTTTCTCGCTCCTGTTGAGACATTTTCTTCCAACTTTGGCCCGATAACACACCCCATGCTCATCTCCTTTTGTTCCCATTTGATGCTCTCTGCACCTCAAACTGGGCCCACCCTTGTTCCCCATCATCCCTGCTGCGGGATCCATTGGACCCCACAAGATAAGCCCCGCATAATTCTCCCTCTTCTAGCTATCCTAACCAGAGAAAGTTCTACTAAAAATTAGTTCTGTGCTTCCTGATTGGATTTGTCTTTATGTCCTGAGCCTTACAAAAGTATTTATCTGACCTTGATCCATGGAGTCTATGTTTTCATGTCTAATTTTCTTCACCAAGAGACCTAAACTTCTATTTATCTTTTGCAGATAAACTTCACTGACTCTTTAGTCTACACTTTGACCATCCTTTTTGGCATAAGCAGGTTTAATTATACCAGTTATACTCAAGTACATCTAGCCAAAGCCTAAGTACTATTTATACTGACTCCATCAAAAAAAATATAATCAGGCTAAAACCAAACTTGAATTTAGTGTCAAGTGTTTTGGTTGGTGAGTTTAGTGATGACCGTGAACTCTCCTTGAAAAAGCTATCTCTGTAAACAGTATATTACAATCAGCCACAAGATAAGCACATAAGAAGAAGGCCAAGATCCTAATCGTACTTTCACAACTATATTTTCTTAATTATGTATGTCTACACATGCATTTTATTAATGGCTTATTTCCCCTGGAGTTATTTACACCCTATCCTTAATTCAAAAGAACACCAAGTCTGACAAAAAAGGTTACTGGTACCTCAAAATTTTTTATGTGCGCAACAATTTTCAAATGCGAAAACCTAACATTTTTGGGTGATTTTCTCATGAAAAACCGCTAAAAGAAACTCTCAAACATCGTATTTATGCTGAAGATTATAATTATCACACTATTGGCTGGACAGATCATTGCAGGTGATCTGAACTGATTTGGAGTGGCTTTCACTTCCCACATCCAACGTCGACGTTTATCTGCTTGGTCTTAGACTAAAGTGTCAAGCATGCATACTTTGCCAAAGAAACGAAGGCATCAAAAGAACATGCCATGAAGAGTTGTTAGACGGACCGGATTCAAGGTTCATTGCATGCATCCATCGCGTCAGGGGCAGCTTCAGATCCAATAATTGAGATGGACAATGCGATGGCGGTCACTCGATTGATGTGCTCATCAACAGGGTTGCCGATGGTGGCCAGTGGAATCCGGAGAAAGATTTGAGCTACATGATACAGAATGAGCACCAGGGTAGCTGTTGAACTGCAGGTGGAAGGGCCTCCTTTGTAGGGCGAATGTGTAACAGAGTTTTAGAAGTCTCCCTCAGCCTCTCCTTTCTTAGAGTATCTGATCTAATTGGCAACCAATTAACAGCAGCAATGGACCCAAGATTGCATACCTTCTTGGCCTCCTATGGGTTGATAAGATAAGGTGGACCATGATCCTCCTCTATTAGCACTGTCACCAACAGCAGCATCAATAATTTTTTATGTGCTGGTAAGCACGGAACCAATGCTGCAGGTGCGTGGCCCATCATTCTACTGCCAATAGAGATCTGACAGAAGGTAGAATCATGTCATGTTACCAATCTTTCTTTTTCTGTATAAGACATCTGCACTCTACTCAACTGGATGCAAGGTGCTGCCAAATGCTATGTCAGCTTCTTGATCATTAGAATTTACCTCGAGTGTCCTGGCAGATACCAAGAATTGCTGAACAAGAGACATCAACCGGTTTCATCGCGTTCAACAGATCAAGCCCCTTCAAGAATCTACCCTTATGCACTGCCATCTGCAGACAGCCGAAGATGGCCTTCTCCACTGATAGGCGATGGACATGAGCATGATGTCGGCAATGACCCACCTGGACTGCTCCACCATGGAGACTACAGTGGTGCCTCAAATGGTGCGCGGCCTCTGATGTCTTGAGTGGTAGCCTCAGTGTGGTTCACAGCATGGGGTTACATCGGGAGGTGGAAGCAGTCGGGGGTGAGGGAAGTGGTGGTAGGCCTCCATGGCGTCTCTTCAAATGACCTGCATTCGATTACAGTTTAGACCTTGGCACCAGAAAGAGTCAACAGTTTCAACAAAGAATGGATATGACCTCTCATCTCCAACTTGGCAATGTGCAGCTCGACCCCAAGTGCTTTACTTTCAATGATGGCCAATCGTACTTTCACATCATTTACCATTATTAGCATGCTTTCCCAGATCTTCTACCATTTGTTTGGTATAACAAAACCGTAAGTTCTTTTTCTTACACTGCCACTGGCTGAAGATTCCAGTAACAACTAGACGATGACAAATATGAATCCATTAATCATAGTAGATCCTACAGCTTCCAGCTCTTTAGCACCTCAATTTCTGGTAACTTGTCATGTAGAATCCATCAGATAAATAAGTAGAAAATGGCCAACAGTTGCCATCCAGAAAAACTAGATCTGGCACAAGCACCATAGGCAATTAGTTAGATGAGGCTCTAAAAATTGATAGCAGCCAGCATATGAGAATTAGCCGACAAAAGCGGGAAGAAGTTGAGAGCACTAACTTCTTGTTGGCATAGCCATGGACTCTGATGCCAGTCATCATTGGAATTGCTTCGACCTGTACAGGCATTGTGGGCAGGGATTGCAGTAGAAGGTTTCGGTTGCCATTCTCCAGAGAGTTTTATAAACAAGAGAGACAAATAACATGACATGAGTGGGACAATCATCTTCATAATCTCAGTCTCATTCTTAGGATATCCAAAGCGAAGCTTTCTAACTTATAAAATCTTCGCAAGCTATTCCTGGATTTGGCAAATAATGTCATCCAATAATCCCAATATTGAAATTGTGCAGTCCAAATAGAAAGCAAACACCGAAACTGTTTAGGTCTTTGTTGTCCAAAAAGGTACCAACACTAAATTTTCAATTTCCATCCAATTAGCCAAAGAAAAGAAAGGCAAACCCAAGAAACTGGTGGATGCTGATTGTTGCACAAGAACAATCCAGTGGCTTGGTGCATTACAAAAGTGGAGGATGCCTTTACCTCCATTTCTCTCTATGCTCCTGCCTCCACAAGGCCCATGTCTCAAAAATGGCGGCAACTAGTGACATGATTGTGGTGAGGAGTTCATAGCTGAAATCTTCAGGAAGAAAATCATAGTTCAATCCTAGTAGAGGACAAATAAATACTGTAGGAGAAAACATGCTTGGTGTATTACAATTGGCATGCATTGTCACAGTGCTTGTCAGGCATTGCACTTGAGGAGAGTTGGATTCTTATATTAGCAAAATAAAAACACAGTCTTACATTAGCATGAAAGTATGCTCAATTCGTGCAGAGAAACATACCTTCCTGGTAGATCTGCACTTGAGGAGAGTTGAATTCTTATATTAGCAAAATAAAAATACAGTCTTACATTAGCATGAAAGTGTGCTCAATTCGTGCAGAGAAACACACCTTCCTGGTAGATCTGCACTTGAGGAGAGCTGAATTCTTATATTAGCAAAATAAAAATACAGTCTTACATTAGCATGAAAGTGTGCTCAATTCGTGCAGAGAAACATACCTTCCTGGTAGATCGGAAACTATCTAATCTGAAATTATGCTGTTACAAGAAGCAGGCACATTCCCCCGAGGTGGCCTGGAGGGAACGACCATAGAAGCGCTCCTGCATATGCAGGAGGAGCTGTAATATTACTTAAGCAGGGTAGAATTAGATACACAAAAAACACAAATTAGAAGAGGAGCTATAGGAGAGGTTACGAGGATGAGAAGCAAGATCTTTAAAGACAGAAGCAAAAGCATTAAAAATATAAAGGAAATAACTAAAAAGGGCCAAACAACCATTCAATAGCCTTAATTTAATTGAAACTAAATGGTCTATTGATTGATGGTTGACCTCCTATATACAGTTGCTACCTGTTGTACTTATCATCTAGGAAACCTGACAACGGGTATTTATTCTTTCTTCTCTCAACTGAACCTTTTTTTTTTCTAAATTATCTAAATTCTTTTAGAAATCCTTCAAACTGAATACATATGGAAAGAATTTATAGATACTTCATTTAGACTTCTGATCCAAATGTAAAATAGCCGAAAGAATATGATTAAAGTAAATACTAAAGTAACTAAAAAAAAAAACTAATTGTTTTCCTCATAGAACTCAAAATCACATCTAAACAAGGCTGAAATAGAATCAAGCATTGCGCTTCACTTATCTCAGTCTCTTATTTGGAATAGGCTGCATCAACATAAAATTCACAATTATGTATTAAAGCAACATCATCGACAACCAATAATATGAAGCCAAAAACTCTAAAACAGTCTCTTCAAAGCTAGACATCAAACCATGAGTTATGATCAACTCATAATATGTAAACCCCTCTTTTACGGCTTCCTCTTATATGCACAAGTTTGCAACAACTTGTTTTCCGCTGATAATAACTGTTGTCACATTTGTTATCGTTGGTCTCAGTACAATTCTTCACTACTCATCTGAAGTCCACAGCAGAAATGACAAATAGTCTAACTTAAGCCACTGCTTAATCCAAATGGTTATAGATACGCACATGAGAGCGAGAGGGAGGGGGGTATAAGCAAAAGTCAAGAATGACTAAGCTGAGGGGCAATAGGCAGAACAACCATCAATAATACGATATCTTATTTTCTTCTCTGATTGAGAGGGGTGGTAATGATGAGGATCAAAATAACATTTATCAAGTGACAAGACCTGTGATATAAGAAATGAATTAAGCATAACGTATCAAGTAGTCTTGAGAGGAAGTACCACAAAAATATTCTTCTACATTGTCCTGATGAACAAATTCCATGCAATTAGCATCCAGAAGTCGATTTCTTTTAAGTTCAACCAGAATTTTCTTTTATGTGAATACTTGAAACTGCAAAAGCATTCTTCATTTACCACTTAATTGAAACCAAAAAGCAATAAAATATCAGATTCATCTTATCATTTATTTGTCAATATGGTACAAACAAAACAACCAAATCCTAGCCTTCATATTCTAATTTTCAGTACAAGGTGAGTGCTCATCAGTACAAAAAATCAGCTCCCAAAGTGCACTAACTGAATTTTAAAGTCCTGCAAATCCACATTCATTCTCTTTACTCATAATGTCAATAATTCCCTTTTAAATGAGATTGGAAAACTTTGCATCAGCAGAGGTTGGTTGACTAAACTGGTTGAACAAATTGATCAGCCTTGAGTAAGCGAGCTAAGCTTGAAGGTGTCTTGGATATTTTAAATGAGATTTTGACTGTATGCTTTTGGTTTTCCCTCTTGCGACCTAATTCTTTTTGCAGTCACTTCTCACGTCAATGCATCACACTTAAGCTAATGGACAATCTTCCATGAATGATGGCCACCAGAAAATTGGAAGGAAGCATCCCTCCAAAGCAAATCAAAATGCACCATTTCACCATTTTTTTTTCTACCCTTATTTTCATCGACTGCCATCAGCAAAAGCTCTTTCTAAGTGTCCTTGTGGAAAAACATCAAGTCTGTATCATTCCAACAACTAGTAAGCATGCCACATGCCATGTTTCGTAAATCCTTATTTGTAAAAATATATTGATACTAATTCTGATTGTGTATTCTGCATCAAACATGGAAGGAATAATAAGAATAAAAGAACATATCAATATGCAGAAAGGAACTAAACATGTTTACAAGTGCAGAGCACTATGGTTTCAATATTTTCAATATATAATATTAGCTAAAAGCATAAAAGTAAAAATAAACAACTACACATGGATCAACCTACTCGAAAAGTGAAAATTTTAAGACTAGTGACCTAAAAAAGTCTCCAAAATCTACGAAGTGTTGGAGAAATTACGTTTCCCGACAACAAAGTAAACTTGATCGAGACAGTCATTTCTTTTCATGAACATGGCTCCAGACTGCACGGAGGAGAACTGACTAATTTTTAGTAGAATCTGCAAGGCAAGAGAAAAGGGAATAACATATGAGCAGGGGAGAAGGATGCCACGAACCAACACGCACGGTGGAGAGAATCAAGGAGATGAGAAGGATCGCAAACCCTAGGCTAGCCCTAGCCATGGCCGCCGCAGACGGAGCTGCGAGTTGTACAACACGTTGTGATTTGTTCCAAAATGATACGGAAGAGCACACGATTAGTAGGAGTTCCATCAGGAGCTCCCTTTGGTCGTGTAGGGTAGGATCAGCAGAGCATTAATCATAAAAGCGACGATACGAAGAGATGGACATGAGACCAAACCCGGAAGAACAAATCCCTAATCCGTGACGTTGGCTCCGATCGGAGACCGTCGGAGGTTAGAGAGGGTAAAGGTAGTTGGCAGCAAAGCGGAGTGTTCCATTGATAACGTCCGAGGAGAGGTCGAGGTAATGAACGTAGCCATCGAGGGCAGAGGAGAGGCGAAGGTCACCATCGGGTTCGGTGGTGTCGCAGCCGAAATCGCCGGAGAAGGTGGAGACTGCGGAGCTCAGGTGTCGTCAACATATCTCGCTTCTCCTAACGGATCCCCCGTTCGCGGCCTCGGTTGAATGCTTTACGATCCGTGCAGAAACGCGCCACTAGCATTTCGAAATTAATGAATGAAGCCGTTATTTTCTAGTCATATATTTGAGGGAAATAAACAAAATAAATTAAATATACGAAAACTGTGTGTCTTGAGTTGACGTCATTATTCCTTTCAAATAATAATAATATTTAAAAACACATTGTACGAAAAATATATATAAACCGAATTGCATATGTGCATATGATAACTTTTTGAAAAGAGCAAAGCGAGAGGCTGCACCGTCCCTGCTATACGAAAGCCCCATCCAGCCCTGTGCCACCCGGGGGGGTTCCAGGGTGCTGAGATGGCTGACATTTTGCTCCGCTCACGACGGTCGCCGCGCCACGCAAGAACAGGCTAAAACGACTCAAAAACGGGCCAAAACTGGCCATTTTTGGCTGCGCGAGCGAGCGGCGAGCGGCGGACAGCGAGCGAAGCGAGAGGCAGCACCGTCCCTGCTATACGAACGCCCCATCCAGCCCTGTGCCACCCGGGGGGTTCCAGGGTGCTGAGATGGCTGACATTTTGCTCCGCTCACGACGGTCGCCGCGCCACGCAAGAACAGCCCAAAACGGATCAAAACTGGCCATTTTTCGCTGCGCAAGCGAGCGGCGAACAGCGAGCGAAGCGAGAGGCAGCACCGTCCCTGCTATACGAAAGCCCCATCCAGCCCTGTGCCACCCGGGGGGTTCCAGAGTGCTGAGATGATTGATATTTTGCTCCGCTTATGACGATCGAAATAGAGAGTGACTGTTTGAGATTTATGAAAGAGATATAATAAAAATAAAATAAAATATAAAAATATTTTTGGGACAATCGCCCGAATATAAATATAAATATATATTATAATCTTAGATACAGCATTTACTTAACCATTTAAGTGTATGATCACATATTTATGTGACGGACTCAGACTCGAACTTGGGTTCGACACAGCATGTTATCTTCACTCTTATTCCCGAGCCACATGGCCTTCCTCTTTTTATCTCCACACTATAAACGTGATGCTTCGAACACATCCTCTCTTCTCTGCCCTGTTCAGCTCCTACCGAGGCCTTCGTGATGCCCTTACAAACACTAATCTCATCAAGAGCTCCATCAGATCCTAATCCCCCCGCAGCCGCATCCGCTCCGTGTCCTCTCTCATCAAGGTCGGCTGCCAGGAGCCCGTCATGGTCCTCCGCGTCAACCGCGACAAGGGCTACATCGATCTCTCCTAGCGCCGTGTCTCCGAGGAGGACATACAGGCATGCGAAGAGCGCTACACCAAGAGCAAGCTCATCCGCTCCATCATGCGCCACGTCCCCGAGACACTCGACATCGACCTCGAGGAGCTGTACATCCACATCGGCTGGCCTGTCTATCGCAAGTACGGCCACGCTTTCGAGGTATCACTCGGCTGAACAGGCCGTTCGATTCGAATTTCTTTGTCGATTTCTTCCTCAGTCTGATAAAGATTTGGTCTTTTAATGATCTTCTATAGGCGTTCAAGATAATCGTGACGGATCCAGACTGTTCTTGATTCCCTGACTCGGCAAGTGAAGGAAGTTGGGCCTGATGGGCAGGAGGTCCGTTTCTTGGTACTTTTGTTGTTATGATCTGTCTTGTTGAGTTAATCATGATGGACGCAGGTGACTAAGGTAGTGCCTGCAGTGACACCTGAAGTGAAGGATGCATTGGTCAAGAATATTAGGAGAAGGATGACACAGCAGCCACTAAAGATACGTGCCGACATCGAGATGAAGTGTTTCCAATTCGATGGAGTTCTTCATATTAAGGTACCGATAATTATCTTTAACCAAATTTCTTATTTTTCACATTCTCCCGTACATTATTTTTGTGCTACGGAATAAGGCGTATAATGATGAAGTTATATTTTAAACAATGCTTTGCAGGAAGTCATGAGGAAAGCTGAAGCTGCAGGAAATGATGATTGTCCTGTGAAAATCAAGCTAGTTGCCCCTCCGCTCTATGTCCTTACCACACAGACTCTTGATAAGGTACATGAGACTCATTGCTCCTTGTAATCTAACTCGAATAATCCTCTACGTAAATACGTAAATTGCAGCATTGTGTAGACAGTCTCATACAACATATTATTCCATTTGTTTTCTCAGTGTACAATTGCAGCCCGTTGAGCTTCCATTTACACGGAGCTTCCCTTCATTATGTGGTTTCTTATGCTGAAAGCTTTTGTTTATGGGGTTTCTCTTAGATATTTAAAATAATATTATACATTATAATATTTTTCTATAACTTTACGTTTGCCATATGACACTTCTTTTTTCAAGATTTGACATGTATGTATCAAGTTGTATCAGTAGGTGGTGTCTATCCTTAATAGTTTGCAATCTAATTGTTTTATCCAAGTTAATCAGGTTGTTAAGTTTTATGATTCATTATTCCTTGCTTTTGATATATTTTCATACCGACAAGATTCATTTTATTATATATAGAATGTAGATACCTCTTACTGTATGTGTCTAAATTCTTTAGTGCTAAAAGTTTAGTTAGGGAAACTAATATCCTCTGTCCGCTGACCTTACAATTTCTTTAAACAGAGCAGTAAATGCCAAATGTTCTTGAAATGGATGCTTCAGGAACCTAGTCCCTGTCTCTTATGTTGCCTTTTCTTTTGTCTGGAAACCTCAGGAATGACTCAAATTGTTTGGGTTCAGAGTAATGATGAATTATGGGAAATTAAGAAGACATAAAATTGTTGGTTGCTTTTGAATGAAAAATTGCATATGTTTTGAAAATACGCTAGAAATTGTTACTACTGGTAGGTGTTATTCCATGCTTGCCATCAGCATATCAAAGACTAGTTGCCCTCTTGTCACTAGATATTCTGAATCCTTCCCATCAGCATGTGTTTGAGATTTCATAAAGTCCAACCTTGCAGGAGAACTAAAAAGAAGGTTTAAGCACGTAGTTGTAATAGAATGGAGCAAAGATATCCCACTGTAAGTTTGTTTTCAATGACATAATGATATTTCTGAATCAATATAATTGAAAATTTGAAACCATTAAATTGAATCTATATTCTATATATCATATGAATTGTTCAAATTTGATCTGTATCTGTTTTAAGTCTAACTTCTTGTAGGTCCATGCCTTCCATCTAAATATGTTTGATATGCACAGTCCTGTTACCCATATTAATCTGTTATCACCAGTTCCTACATCAATGCTATCAATTGAATCTGGAATGTGAGGGAGTATGTTTTGCTATATACTTGTTTGATCTCTAAGCAGACACATCTGATTCTAGAGGAAGTTCTATCCGAAATCTCACTAATAAGTTAAATATGTGTATCATATGCTGCTTCCCTTAGGGCTTTGAGACTAATGGTTCTCTGGTGGATAATCTCTGTGTTTTCTTCTCAGTTCTATTGGTATAGAGTTTGTTATTATTTGCACTTCTTATATGAGCTCAAGTTGTTGTTAACATTTTTTAACAATGACATGGGAATTTGGATGAGTCATTGTTAACTTTGTTTATGCTTCAACTCTGCTCTTGTATGCTATTATAAATGCACAGTGACTTCTCACGAATCTTCATTTAATTCCTTGAAGAAAATCTGATCTATAGAGATCAAGTCATGATTTCTTATGCTTTATCAGGTATATATTTAGTAGGTCGGTATACTGTGAATTTTTTGAATTTCTCTTACTATGCTATGTGCCTCTACAGGAACAAGGTATATCAGTGCTCAACAATGCAATTAAGGCTTGCACCGAAGAGATAGAACGGTACAAGGGGAAACTAACGCTCAAGGAGGCACCAAGAGCTGTAAGTTATATTTCCTGTTGCAATTTTCTTGGTAGTTCTGTATTGCAATTCTCTTTGTAAAGGATAACAAAGGAAAACATCCACTGTTAATAATGTTAGCTTCATTGTTCTGGTTTTTGTCCAAGTTGTTAAGTTGTCTAATTGTTCAATTGGATTATAATCTTGAGTCAAAGCTAATAGGAATTAAATATATTTGTTCTATTTTATTTTAGTCCAGTTTTTTAAGAATGAATTAGGAAGGTTCTGAAACCAGTCAGATTTGGTTAACTTATTGGATCTGATTGCAACCTGTTCCTAGTTAACCTTTTTCTAAATGTTTGTCAGAACGCCCGTATCATAACGGTTGATATAATATAGCTTTGGGCTTCTCCTCTTCATTGGGATGATCCAATTATTTTGGATGAACTCACTAGTATCAATATCTGACACGATATCACAAAACCATTTCATGATGTTAATCTGAATTCTGGGTGGCGTCCCAGGTGAGTGAACGCAGATGGCACGCTATTCGCTGAGCACATGGCAGAACTACATTCTGCTAACGAGGAGGTTGATGGTGATGAAGGTAGCGAAGAGGAGGAAGATACAGGAATGGGAGAAATGGACGTGGAGAACTCTGGTGTTGGCATGGCGGATTGAAGACATCATTGAGCGGATTAAGTTGGATGGTTTTGTATCCGAGTGTACTAATATAGATAACTGTATACTATGTTAAGCTATGTCTAATTATTGGAACAGCAAGCGACATCATCTTCTTTTCTTCATATGGCTGATGCTTGGATAGTTGTGTTTTCATCAATTTGGAGCAGGACATTCTTTTTGGGCTATTGAAGAATGAATCATATGGATCCATTGGTGCAGTTTGACTGCAATTGTTCTACATGGAGAGGCTCCACTTGCCAGTTCCTCTATGTTCATATTATACAGTGTACGAGTGCAATATTGCCTAAAATCACCAAGAACTATGATCCAAAATCATCTTTATTTTTTCTGGTGGTGTAGAACCTGTGTAAATTTTTTGAAGTACCATGTTCCTCCCAACAAAAAGAAGAGGAATTATACTGTGTACGTTCAGAGCTTGTAAGCCTAACACTGATGTCTTTTCTTATGAGATTGCAGTTGAATGGATTACAGAAAGGAAAAAAGCAAATGTTGTTTTGTAGTTGGCATTACTGTGCATATGTGATTTCACCTGAATCGAGGATTAACAAGCAGTTTATGCCTGGACGAAGACAATGCCAAACTTAAATGAACAACTTCGCAGGTGAATTCTTTTAAAGTGCAACTTGAGTGATTGATTGATTGATTATATCACCAGGGTGAGGATCCTCTTCCATAGCTGAAAGAAACAAGGTGATTGCTCCAAATGCTATTCTCCAAGAGTGGGTGCATCCCCACTTTTTCCAGAGAGATGACCATATACTAGCTTTTGTAACTTAGCATATTATATATATATCAACAACTACAAGCATCAAAATAGTTGGCTTTGCTCGACAACAGCTGCTTTTAGTTGCTGTAAGTGAAGAAAATGTTGACCAAATCTGAGACTAATAAGATGAGAATGAATACTAGCAAATGATATAACAGCTACAGGCCTCGTTGTGGTGGATAAACAAGGATGGCATCTAAACGCAACCGAGGTAGACAATTGGCATCTCAACAATGTCTACATCATCGATATCAAAAGCTGCATTATGGAAATTCTCCATCCATAATATGTTAAGCAACCATGTCTTGTCATGTGGCCATCATGCATCTCTTTCAGCAAACATGGCAGATCGCACGCCAATTGGTGGAGCCAACATGCCGGAAACACACACTCGCCAACCATGTCTTTCTCCTTGTCCCTTGAGGCGTTCAACATTTACTGCGCTACTCGCGCCCTTCTCCACCACCGTCCTTTACGTAGTTTCTGCTGTCTCTTTGCATGTCTACTCTTCACATGGCCGCAACAGGAGAAGGTCACCAAAGCTGATGAGATTTGTGGATCGGGTGTGTGGAGATGATCATGATTAGCAATCATGCCAACATTGATTCCAAGCCAAGGGAGGAGGAAGTCAGCTCGTGATCCAAAGCCTTCGTCTATGGAGTCGAGAGAACGATAAAGGACTCGCCATCCAACTGGGTAGGGGGGATGCTTTGAGGTCAAGAAGCTCTCGAGTGCTAGAGAACAAAGTGCTCGTTGGCCAGCCAGTACAAAAGGTCAGCCTTAGTTCGTCCTCTGCCTCCTCCATCGATGCAATGATGAGCACGCGTTCATATTTCTCGAATAGAATACCGAGCTGCTAAAGCTTAGTAGGGATGGGGACAAAGGCATGCAGGCATGGGGAGACTTGTCACCACTCGATGGACTCTCTCTCTCTCTCTCTCTCTCTCTCTCTCTCTTAGATATATATGTATATATCATTAGCTTTCACTAATCTGTGTTTAGGCTTCAATTTGGGACGTGTAGGGGTTCTTCTGGAAGAGTGCTGTGCTTTTCTAGGGTTAGAAACTTAATAGAAAGGCAGCATCAGAATCACATGTTTCAAGGAATGTCATCATGATCAAAACAATCATTCTCTCCTCAAACATATTATGTATACATGATCTGGAATCAGCAGCAATGGCCGATGAGTGATGATGACTCGCGCATGATGCATGCATGACGTGCGAAGGCACACCACCAGTTTGTAGTTCGAAACAAGCATGAAAACAGATGGAAATGGGAAGAAGGAAGAAGAAGAAGAAGAGGAAGAGGAGTAGGAGAAGGACATGGGGATGGAACGAAGAACACACACAAGTCTTTGATGGGGTCAGCGTTGACACCATCCATTAATCGCCAGTGTTCTTTTCTTCCCCACGCGGATTCCCACCATGCTTTCTTTTTCCTTCTCAGCTTTGCTTTGATCGGTCACACGTGCATCGACATGAAGTCACTGTGGATGAGGAGCTTCCTGCAATCTGCATCACAAGTTCTCCTAAAGAAGCTCTTGGGGATTTTGTGATTGCTGCTAAGTGCTGCAACCCTAATTCACCTTCCTCCTCTTCTGAGGACATTCTATATTACTGTGAATATGGATGAAATACAAAAGAAATGAAAGAGACCTGTACGTAAATAATATATAAAGAAATCTAAATAGAAATAATAATTGAGGAGTTATTGATCTACTTTTAGAGCTAAAACCCTAATAATTTTGATACTTTACGACTCGATATTTATAGAAATTGAATGTAACCAAACCTAGTTTTTTGTATGCAAATGATCAACATTATTTTACCAATTTCAAATCACTGTTTACCTTAATAATCCATGTATTCTTAAATAAATATAATTGTAAAAAAAAATTTCTGAGACATATATTGTCATCTTAAAAATTACACATTTTTGACTACTTTGGAGAAGAAGGGCAAGACAAGATATGAGCCTTAATCTAGTATAGTCAATTCATATATATGCTTTCATTATTATTGAATTGACATTGTTCTTAGAATATATGTCTTTCTCCAGATTGACTTCTATCATTTTTTATAGGTGAAAAATGAAAAGAACCATTTAGTTATTACGTACCGAAGAGAAAAAAACAACAATTACAGAATAAAAAAAAGAGGCAAACCAATTCATTTGTCAGTTAATTTGGATGAATAAGATAAAGACAGATTAATGAGGAGATCTAATGTGAAAATGACTGATTGGTTGAACCTTCCTCATTTGTCTGTTCATTTGCTTCATGTCAAACCTTCCTCACTTTGGCCATTTCTTGAAGAAAGGTGCTTAAGATATCATTATACTGAAAAAAACAAACATTTCTTGGACACATCTAATAAGTGAATTAAGTAAAGGTTTACAAAATTGACTTGGTATTGTTTGACACACTTCATGTTTCATAATGACTTCAAATCTCTTTACATGCTTCTTACAATTTGATTGTCTGAGTAGGTTATTGGAGTGATGAATGGGTCAGTGGTGCTCAACATGTCTGTTTTGGACATAGTGTACATGTGGGTCAAACTACACAGAAAATGGTACATGGATGGACCTCAGATGTACATTGTTGTTGTGGACAAGTCATTTGCAGGTGTAGATCCTAATAATTCAAGTCTTTTGTGTGCATTTGGATTCACAAAGAGTTAGAAAGTGAATGGATGGAAGATAAACATCCATGTGATCAGCATCAAAATGGATGGGGTTTCACATGATCTTGTTGTTCTTGTGAATCCAGTGGATGCCAGTCTTATTGGATTGTCAAATCAGAGTTCCAAGGCTTACTTTTTCCTAAACTCTTTCATGCAAAGATGGATAAACCAAGATGGAGGAAGAGGCAACTTCAAAAGAAACTTTGTATGTTTTGTTTCAAACACCCATGGGGTTTCACAACATTCTCTACTTTTTCTGGATGCAGTTCTTGCAACCTGCAGGACTTTGCAGCTCAAAATCTGTGACTGGAGTCCCTACAGCTCACGAAAAGAAGGCAGAAGACAGCAAGGGAAGGGGGGGGGGGGAGGGCACAGGTTGGGAGAGGAATATTGGCATGAACAGATGAAGACAAACAGGAAGAGTGCAGCTTCCAAGAAAGAGTTAAAAGGAAAGGAGAGTATATGGTTGGGAAAGTGCCTCCTGGAGAGGACAAAGATATTGAGCAAGGTACGGCACTCAGAAACCAGTAGCTTTTTCTTCCTCGATGCCTCGCCTGTAGCTCAGCATTTGAGGACTTTTTGTTTGTGCAGTCAAGGGAATGACAGAAAGCATACAGAAATCAAGGGAGTTTGCTGGCCTTCTGCATCAGTTTTGGTGCATGGTGCTGCAATATTATATTGCAATTGTTTGCTCACAGTTTATGCTGTTGAGGATAATGCTGAAGCAGCTTTGCCCACCCAAATTTCTATCAATGATCAAGGCATGGTAAAAGTTCTCGATGAGAAGGATTTGGCATCTGATAAATTGCTGAAGCTGTGATCATGAATAAGAAACCAGGATGAAGCTTGCATGCTCTTTTTTGGCTAATCTCAACCCAATTCATCTGCTGCTTCTGTCAATGACATTGGTTTGTTCTTGTTGTCTACATTTCAGCCATTAGCATGTGTAACATCTTGATTTGGCTTTTAATTAGTACCTAAGTTGCCATTCACCTCCAAAATTAAAATTTGTTGTTTTTGAGTGTTTGATCAGTGTGATAATTGGCATGTCAAGGTAGGCAAGCTAGAGGTAAAAATGACTTCAATCTTCAAGCAGTCCAAAGGATGAGGTAGTCTTGGCAAGTTCATGTTCTAATAGTAAAACCATAAATGATTTGCTCATCCTCTGTGTATGTACTACCATTTTGGCATTGTAATAGTTAGACATAAGTACTATACAGTACAAAAGGACACCAATCTATAGGATTCATCTTCTGTTGGTACCTTTCACTGGCTACCAAACAATTTACCATTTGCTTTGCAGTATATGATGAGGATTAGTAATGACTCAAAATACCTAACAAATGTTTAGATTCAACACAAAATTGAGTGCTGAGGTCCATTCTTAAACCATTCTTTGTGGCCTGAATTCTCAGTACCACCTTTTGTTTGCCCCCACTTTGTGACAAAAGCAAAAGCAAGGGAGGAAAAAGAAAGGAGGGTAAAACAAAAGGGGAGCAAAAATACTAAAGAAAGGAGGAGGAAAAGAAGGAAGGAAAACACACAGAGTGACTTCTTCTTACCCCTCCCCCTCGAAGTAGTCAGATAATTAGATTCCTCTTAATAGAGGACCTTTGCTTTCTTCTCCAAACCTCATCCATAGAAACAAAAGAAGCAAAGCTGCTTCTAAAAGGTTGACTCGGGGTTGCAGGAGGAGACTGTCTGACGAAGCAAGCGAGGCCAAGAATAGAGGCATGAATAGAGGATTGTTTCAGAACTCTGTGGTGCAGCAGATGATGGGGGGAAGCTCTGGCTGTAGGAGCATGAACAGCATAAGGCCACCTCCTGACCAGACCTTCCCCCTCCTCCCCTCCTCTTCCTCCTCTTCATCTCCTTCGGTCTACGCTCAGTTCCCTCAACCATCCGCTATGCTTCCAATCACCCCTTTGCCCGACAGCCAAGAGCTACCAGAATCATGGAGTCAGCTATTGCTGTAACTCTCTCTCTTTCTCTCTCAGTATCATGATTTCTTGGTTTCAGAAGGATTCTTTGGATTATATGATGAGATGCACTTGTTACAAATCAAGATTTTGCTGCTTCTTTCTTTCTTACGACTTCCGATTCTCCTGATATTTTATGCTTATCTAACACTTGCCACTGATCCCTGGAATTTTCTTGGATCTCGACCATACTGATTCCCTGAAAATGTCCCAGGGGAGGATGTTGGGGGGAAGAGGAGAAGTATGGGTTGACGCCTCTCCAGACTAGAAAGATAGAGACCTGGGAAGACCAGTTACTGTACCCATCAGCAGCTGCTCATGTTGCTGATGTGAAGCGAGAGTACTCCGGAAGCGGTTACCTCCATGGCCATGGGAACGAAGAAGAGGCCAAAGCATCTAAAGCTCCATGGAGCCAAATTATGCCAGCTTCCTCTCCTAGATCTTGCATCACCACTAGTTTCAGCAGGAACATGCTGGACTTCTCGAACAAGCAGCCAGGAAGAATGCATCATCAGCCGGACAACTCATCTGTGGTGAGAAGTACATGTCTAATCCCTTGTTCTTGCTCCATCTTGGATATATCACTCACAGCAAGAGCTTTTCTCATTTTGGTTTGATTTTTTGTCGATCTTGAATGTATCGATCTCCCTGCGCACTTTAATTACTCTTCGAGAGTTCATCGGGATGGACTTAATTATACGAGGCTTAACATGCTTTAATTTCTGCTTGATTCCATTCTCAAGTGCAACAGCACAGCAGCTGGTGCAGCTCTCAAGAAGGCCAGGGTTCAGGGAGCTTCTTCAGCTCATTCTGCTTTCAAGGTTGGCACCACTGTCTTGTACTACTTTAGTAGACATGTATTCTAATGTTGGGAAGGAAACTACGAATCACTTTTCAAAGTTGAAAGCAAGACTTTTATCAGGGAAGAAAAATTGACCTTTTATTTCCATGCCGCCTGCATTCAGGTGAGGAAGGAGAAGTTAGGGGACAGAATAACTGCACTTCATCAGATAGTTTCTCCTTTCGGGAAGGTATCTATCTATCTATCTATCTATCTATCAATCTATCACCACAACTATTTCATACGGTCTTCTTAGAATTTGACGGGGTGTGCAGTGTTCTGCTATGTTTTATGAGAGCTCTTGCAGTAGTACTCGAAGTTTCAAATCTATGCATGATCTTCATTTCTTTTGCTTTGGTGTTCTGACATGAGCTCCTTTTCCAGACTGACACTGCCTCCGTCTTGCTAGAAGCCATTGGCTACATCAGATTCCTCCAGAGTCAAGTCGAGGTCAAACCTCTCTCTCTATCTCTGTCTCTCTATGCGTATATGTGTCTGATGAAAGGCAAAAGTGAGAGGAGGGATGGGGTGGGTGGGTTAAGAGAGCACGCAGTAAAAGCTGGTGGCAGAACAGGGCGTTGTTGTATGCAGTATCTTTTAGTTATTGGTGTCTTGTATTGCCAGTTTACGAGAGATTATTCTCTCCGGTCTCTTTCTCACTGACACCCATTCTTTTCTCTCGTGTAGGCTCTGAGCTCCCCGTACTTGAGCAGTGCATCAGCCAACACGAAGCAGCAGCCTGTAAGTTACACGCTCTCTCTCTCTCTTTCACTCTCTCTCTCTCTCAGTGAGAAGAATACTCCATCCATCAACCTTCTCGAACGAGAAGGAAGAGACATCCCATCAGCGCTTCGTATTTACTTCCTGTTCCGATAATATCCTCCTTTATCTCCATGCAGAACCGACATGATTATTAGTTATTGCTTTTCATCTTATGGTATGCTCTCTCTTTGGATGTTCTACTGAGTGAAAACTGCATTCACTGAGGGGTAATCATCATATTGCAATATGCTGGAAGAAACTTTGTGCTTGCACAAAGAGAAATGACACCATTAAACAATATGCTGTGACCTTTGAATCGATGCATATCAATCACATAGACTTTCACCTTCATGTAGTTTATACGTAAGAACTCCATTTACTTTGACCTCCCTATACACTTACCATGTCGAACCTGACCCCACGATTGAAGAGACTGCTAAGTTTCTGTTCCTTGGGCAGCAGCTGCTCAATTCAAGTGGCAGCAAGAAGAGAGGACCACCTGACCAGGTACCTTGCTTACCTTCAAAGCTTTCACCTCACCTGATCTCTCATCGTTCGTGCCAATGAATGATGCACGCATAGAAATGATTGGCTTCGGAAAGAGTGATTACTTCCCTTGCAATGTTCCTAGCATCAGGAAGGCAATGATGAGGTGAAGAAGGACCTGCGGAGTAGAGGACTTTGCCTTGTTCCAGTCTCCTTCTTCCTGCATGTGGGAACCGATACCGGCGCAGATTTCTGGCCTCCAGCTCTCCATGGGGCCTTCTGATGCCCACCATGAGTTCTCAGCATGCTTAGGGTTCTACAGTTGATGTGCATATCATCATTAGCAGTCACTCTGCTAAACACCACTGAAGGCTGATTGCTCATGATAGTATGCATCACAGATACAGGAAAACCAAGTGTGCTAAGGACCACGAAAAAGCTTGTAATAATAAGAGACAAGAATGCTTCTTGGGGAAGTCCCATCTCACTCTAGTGGTGATCATTAGCTTCTGTTCCATACACTGCAAAGATGTGGCTGGATATTAGGGTTTAGATGGTCTTGAGTTAACTAGTATACTGATGAGTAAGGTACTCTTGTGCCAAATCATATATATCTGGTTGATGTAATCTTCACTGAGGAAGCTTGATGTAGGCATCAAACCATTTTCTTCTAACAAGGGGAAGAGAGAGAATGAGGTATCATTTGCAATGTGAAGTCATGTGCAATGTTAAGATAGCATCTGGATGCCATGTAGACCCTGCTGGTCCATCTTCAGAATAAGGGGGGGAGTTTTCAGGATGAGCAAGAACATCATTAGCCTTCAAACATGTCATTCCCATGACATTGGTAAAAGGAAGTGAAGAGTCAATGCTTGAGCTGTCATCAGAGTCTAATGATCCTTCCAAGTAGGATTTACCATGCACTGATCCAGTCAACTCGGATTTGACCAGCTTTGACAATCTTTTATATACAATGTTATGCCTCCCAACACATTAACAAAAATTTGATCATCCTCAGTCCCTGTATTCTGCATTTTTAATGATAAATAACTTTTATTTTAAGAGTTAGTTATTGATTTCATACGATGATCTCTCTTGGTTTGTGATCTAATACCGGTTATGTATTTTTATAACTCCATATCTGTATATATATATATATATATATATATATATATATATATATATATATATATATATATATATAATCCAATTAAACCTCAGAACACCAATGGTAGAAAAAAGAAAAAGGAAAAGTCAAACCATATTGCCAATTTATATTCTTGTTGAAGAACTTGTACATCCATCCATTTGGATCTCCTTGTAATGTTATGGAGGTTATCAAGGAGGAGTCACATTAGATGAAAGCAAAAAGAAGCTTTGCAGGTTCTTCCAAGCAAGGAACAACATTTCTGACCAGGTTTGTGAAATCAAGAATTTCTCAAGTCTCAAGTACATCATTGTATGTGAAAAATTGTTTAGGAAGTACTCATTCCAAAACCATTTGCATCAATTTGGTTCACTGTTCCTCTGAGAAAGAGCCCATTTGTGAGCACCTAAATACACACAACGTGTGAGTGTCTAGGCTAGCTAAAAGTAGTTAACATGCAGAGTACAACAATGTCATTGTTGAGTTCCACCACTTTTGTCTTGGAGATGGAGGTGTTGTGAGGAGTTCAAGCATACTCTGTTTCTGAACAAGGGTCAAGAGAACATCTCTAATGAGGACGAGTGCCATTATGTACTCAGTAGTCTTTGGCTTGTGCTCCCATACGCCCAGAAGCCAGCTGAAGAAGCCCCAGCAACAATAAACTGTGCATGATTCCACAGGATTAGTGTCAATAAAAATCCTTCTCATAATGCAAGTTCCAATACCAAGTGAATCTCGACAACTTTCCATCGTCGTAAACTAGCATTTAAAAACACCTCCAAAATTCACAATGGTATGAAAAATATCTTAATTACAAACACAAGTAAATGGTTTCTGGTTTAGTTACCTTGTGAATCCTTTCGGGAATGGATAGTTGGCCCTGAGAGATGAAATCATTGAAGTCTGAGATAATATATGTTTCCGGAGTCAAAGTGTGCTGTTCTTTTGCCTTCAAAAGGTTATTAGAGCTAACATCTGCATACTGTCTTCATGTGAAAAATGAATGAATCTTAACATGATACCGTAATAAACTGACAAGTAACAATCATAAAGCAGCAGCTTGTGAATCAAACAAGAGGCATGTATATCTAGAAAATTCATCCTTTAGTACATATACATATATATCTCCTTCTCAGTTTTACCGGCTCATCAGGTCTCATCCCGCATCACTCGCAAGACGTTGAAAAAAATACTAATATTTGCAGAGTAAAGAGACCTTTTTTTTTACACAAAGACTATATTATGAAATTAATCAAGAGAGTACAAAAATACTTATAAGATCATGGTAACTGGGCAAGTCACCAATGCCGCTTATGAGTTACACCCTCACATCTTGCGAAACAAGCCAGAGAATGAGCCTGCTCCTTGCATTCTACAGACAAATGTGAAAAGACTTGTGCACTCTAGTTTGCATGATAACAAAACAGGTAGACAATGGAAATTGGAAACTACCTGTTGATTTATCACTTCCATATGATCTCAGATAACATATTACAGATCCATTTTATGAGACGAGAAGCAACTGGTGAGATTAGTGTCCCAACTCAAATGAACAAGATTAACCATCCTGGAGGACTCACTGTAAAGAATTTCAACCACACAACAAAATCAGGCATTTCATCGAATAATTCTACTCACCTTGTCGAGCAGATTCTCATGCACGTTTCAACGAACACTTTGTATGCAAGGAAGCAAGGCACATCAGCGATTCAAGGTACAACAAAATCTAGCAATCCAAAATGAAAAAGAGAAGCATTCCAAAGTCCATACTGACCATGAGGAATCAAGAAATCCTCATCGCTAAGAAAATTAGACTCACCTCCCTATAATTTCATTTCGGACGGCAAAAGAAGCAAAGGGGAAACTCGTTCGCATGGGACCGCAACGCCAGCGAATAGAAGTATCGTGTGATCCCCGAAATACCCTTAACCCTTTCACTTAATGACAGGAATGAGGTACCCGGTATTGCGAGGGCTATATAGTAATTTTATGGAGAGATGGGGTCCCTTGCTTGATGGGGGCGGATTCCAAAACCCTCAAACCGGAGCAGCAGAAGCGAGAGCCCAAACGCCTTCAAGTCCGCCTTCGAACCCAGCCGTGGTTGGAGGCGACGCGAAAGAGGAGTGGAGACGAGTCAACGAGCGATGAGGCCCCGCGAGCGAGACGAAGACGAGGAGGCGCCGCCTTCGGAACCCTCGCCCGCGCCGCCCCCGAGACGGGCCGGCGGTGGCCTCAGCAGCATGGTGGTTCGCCCACCCGAGAGCGGCGAGGGGGAGGACGACGAGGAGCCCCGGGACTATGGCGCCGTGGTCCGCCGCCGCGATTCCCCGCAGCAACGCCGGGACTCGTTGCCTCCCGCCCGGCGCCGCTTCTCGCCGCAGGATCAGCGCCGGCGCGAACCCTCGCCGGGCCTCCGACGTCGCGACTCCCCGCCGACATTCCGCCGCCGGGGCTCACCCATCGATGTCCGCCGCCGTGGCGGTTCCCCGGGGTTCCACTCCCGCTACCAGCGGTTCCACGGCGGCCCAGGTCTCAATATCTATTCCTTCTTCCGAAACCCTAAACTAGATAAGAAATCTATAAGTTCAAGAATTGGAGTTTCTTTTCGTTTGATTTTACTAGTTAAAGATTTTAAGAAGCAGAATTAGTTACCTTTTCTCTTTCATTGTACGATTTGATGCTTTCTTTGGCTTGCGGATTCGAACCCTGATAAATTGGGGCTTCAATCGGGACATGAAATCTTCTTTACACATTCATTTTGTTTGGATGAAAGAATTTGAACCAAAAAGCACTGTTTTTTAATCTTATAAATGGGCACTTTTAGATATCTTCGGTGCCCCCTCCGGGCTTTTTCTTTGAAGTTGTATATCGTAAGTGAAATAGATGTGTAGATTCAAGGAGGGTTTGCAAATTCTAAACTATTTTCTTTGAGACTATGCAGCAACTCAATGTTTTCTGCTGTCGCTGTTCTGGTTAATTTATAGTTCTTTTACAATAGGTAACAGAAAGCATCCTTCTTCATTCCACTTTTCAGAAGAAATTTCTGCTATCCTACAATGAAGTGTATTCCTCTTCCTCAATTTTCTGTTCTGATCTTATCTTGTACCTGATAATTAGTAGTAACATGCATGGAGTTGATGAAAGCAAGACATAAAATTTGTTGATAAAGGGAATAGACACGATCTTTAGATTGTAATCATGCCCATACTGAGCAGCCACTCTTACTGTGTGCATACACTACCTTGCAATGCCCGAAATTGCCGTTGTCATGTATACAAAATGTTCACTTAGTTGATAAATTTTGCTATTGTAATGTTTTTAAAGTATTCAGTAAATAGATAACATTACCCTTGTACTTTCTTTTTTACTTGTAAGTAATAAATGAAGGGGGGAGGATAGTGTATCGGGCAGGTTCAGCCACTAAAATTGGCTAAGTCACGTATTGGGCTGGTCTTAAGGTACTGCATAGTAACAAACCCTATTTAGTAACAAGACTTTAAGCTATTTTCTGGTTGGTTCATTAGTAAAGATGTAAATTATTAAAAGATATATATTTTTTTTATCTTTTCTACATCCATGATCTGCTTTAACTAAAAAGATTATTTTTACATAGGGTCAATATAAGTATTTCAAACCAAGCTTTTGCAGACAACATGTTTATATTTATGTAAGAAATTTAGGTGATAGCTATGATAATTGTGGCCCTATATTAGGCACTACTTGCAGGCAATTATGTTACACCTGTGCAGCAGTTGTTGCAAATGATAGCTGGATATAGATGCTGTTGGCTTGGCTCAACATATCCATGATAGTAAACCTTGTCACATATCCTCCTTCAATGATTTACCTTTTTTTTTTTCTCCCTGTTCAGAATGTTCCGCTTCGTTCGGAACCACTGAACTGTTCACTCGGTTCAGTTCTGGTTTGAACTGAACCATGATCAAGGCTAGTGAGATCCCATGAAATACTACTTCTTAAGGTCCACAACTGCTCTTACAAAGATGGTAAGTGGGATAAGATTAAACGAGTTTGATTGGTCAAGAAAGTGGCCTACTGGTCGGTTAAGTATGGTTTGCATCAGCCCTGTTTAACCCTACTATCTTGTAGCGACTCAATTTAACACATTACTGGGTTTCAATAACCATATGCATGAGCTACATAACGTTTTATTCATTTTATCACAAGTTTAAGCTCCTTTGATCATAGGTATTAATGATCGATGGATGCCATATTAAAAATTTTCTTTCTTGTCCGTGCCTAGATTGACTAGATCACAAGTTAGAAACTTTTCATCAAGGTTCTAAGTTTTGGTAAGACCAGTCAGTTGGCTACTAAAATATTTTGTCCCATTTGCCATATCCTATTGTCCAGAGAGAGGGTGAAATCATATTGAAACTATTTTTTGGTTTAGTAAAATTCACATTGCCAGTGACTTGCTTGTCACCTTCAACAGCATTTTCTCTTGTCATTCAATCTTTCTGCGAACTTTTTTGGAAATGATCATTTGATTGATTGGTACCAGTTATTTGTTCAAGTAGTAAAAGCTCAAATAACTGCACTAAGAAACTTTCTCGGTAATCTTGTCTATGTTGTTTGTTCAGGGAAGGACTATGTCTTGTGTTATTTAAGATTTAGAAAAAATTTCTGCTTATGTAATATATATATATATATTAAACTTCTATTATCCAACGACTCATGGGAATTGGTAGTTTATTGGATCTGTAATATTCAATTCTTGTTCACTCAACTCTAAAGAATAGAGAACTGTGCCAATTTCTGATTCAGTGACCCAGCCCCTAAGATGACTGTTCACTGGCTTCATCAACCACACAAGATTTGTGCCCTGGGATAAGCTTCTCAAGCCTCCTGTCTTACCTATGATGCTTGTTCCATCTGTGATATTTTTCTTTCCTGTTTCAGAACTCATCAATCATTCATTTCTTTTCTCCTGTATCATGTTCACCAAACAATTTTTTCTGCTTTGCCTTTATATGTCACAGGTTAGTGGTGATCACCGACATATCCTAACCTTTTAAGTGATTCTCCCTTTTATTTTTTTTTTAATTTCCCTGCACTGTGCCCACTCTGCCACTGATTCTCCTCGTTCTGTTTCCCTTTGTTATATATACAAAAATTGCACGTTGTGCATATGTTGGTTATAAATGAATCTTAATGTGAAAGCCACGTCATACATTTAGATGCAGGATTTGATGACTGTTTTTCTTATTATTTGCCTTACATTTGATGGTTATTTGATACATGGCCTGGACAAACAAGAGATTTTTTTTTTTTGCTGAGCAATACTCTTGAGACTAGCTGGAACTAACATCTTCCTTGTTGGATTTATCAGGCTTGTATCATTTATTGGTTTGTAGTGCATATTTCTAAAAAATATTTCCATGAGCATTCTACTCTAATTATTATTATGTTGAAGAAATTTAGGTGTTTATAAACATGTGTTGTATGCTAACGTGCTTCTTAAAGGAGTCTAGTATTCTTGTTTTGTATTTCATGATAATCTCAATGTGTTTAAAACTCCTTTTTCATTTATTTTGATGTGAGACTGTTGCTGTTCATGTAAGTATCATCCATTTATTTTGCTTTGATCTGAATATTTTAGTTTTTCCAGCACTTTCTTTTTAGGTTTGGATATTATAAGTATCCAAGATTCTGATGTGTGTCAAGTTATAGTACTGTTGGCACTTTGTATCTCCTGACTTGCATGTTTAATATAATGGCCAAGTACTCCAAGTTCCATGACTTGCCAAATTGAGAAATGAAACTTGCTATTGTCCTGTAACAGTTTTGAAGTTTGCTGCTGGCGTTCATATGATTGGAATGGAGACAAGATTGTGTTTTGGATTCGGGTCTTGGAAAATCATGTTTTGAAAATGTTGCAATCATGGTGTTGTAGTTTGACCATGAAATTTGGATAAAAGCAGCCTAGTTAGACATGTATTTACTTCAGCATCCATGCGTAAGGTGGCTGCTTGACAGCATTGCTTTTTTGCTGCAAATAGTGCATTGTGCAAATAATACAAAGCCCTCAACATGATACTAGATTGGGTTGCCATTCACCTACAAACTTGGGATATGGGGTTGGCAAAGATATTGAGAGATTTGTGTTCTCTGGGAATAACCGAGAGATCCATGAATCGGGATCCTTCTCAAGAACTAGACAAAGAAGAGAAGCTTGAAAGGTAACTACTTGAGCTGCCCTTTGAAGGGGAGTTGGGAGAAAGAAGCATTGGGAGAGGTAAAGAATTGATTTTCTCTGAAGAGCCTGGGAATTCCTCTCCAGGTTGAGGTTTCGGGGGGGAAGTGACTGCTCCTAGGACTGAGGGTGGCCTTGGTATTCAGAATCTTGATCTCACCAAAAGAGCTTTGCAATAAAAAAGGATCCTCAATAAATTTGATTCCATACTTGAGTAGAAGTGATTGTGTCTCATTCTATAGTGCAGGACCTTGACTTGTTACTGCTATGTAACATGGTGCTAACTGGAATCTAACCTTCTTGGAGCAGTCAGGATGATTGGCTTCTGACGTGTGTTTTTGTTTCTTGTCCAAACTATGGTATACTGGATCTGTTTTTGCTGATTTTAATTAAAAAAGAAGGGCTGATACGTATTTGATTACACTTGATGAACATAACAAGCAGTTTATGATCATTTCTGGTCAACATATCACGGTAATGCAGTCAATGTGGTGACTTTCTGGGGAAAGAATCTGATATATGGTTTGTAGGCTAATGGGCGCTTGTGCATGAAGTCATGAAAATTTGCTAGTTGAAGCAAATCAAGGTTTTGGTGAAGTTTTCTGGACTGATAAGTTCATTGGACGGTAGGCAATCAGTTTTGACATCTTACATGGCTGGTGGTTTTTGCAAACTTTTTTATATTGGACAGTCCATTTAAAGAACCTGCAAGAAAAAAAGAAATTGTACGTGAACATGGTTGTTGCAAGATGGTACATGGATAGATACTATGTTGATACTTACTACAAAGAGCACCATCCAGTCTTCATGTACAGAGGTCTGATGCAACAAAAATTGGTAAGGCATTTAAAAATTCGAAGTCATCATTACAAAGTTGCCGGAAAGTTTTTTGAAGAAAATCTAGATAAAGGAATACCATGGTTCACTTTTGAATGAAATTTAGGCTCCCTTACTGCTTAGTGAACAGTTCTTAATTTGGTTGGGTAGATGTGTTTGTGAGGTGATTTTTGCTAAACATATTGCTGACTAATTGAGTTATAATGTGATTGGATGTGGGAGTGGGTTACACTTGACGTTTAGATGGTGCAACTAGTCACAGTCCTATGAGTTTATTGAAGAAGAAAAATATTTCACTGTGACTATTAAAATTTCAACCAAGAAAAAATAGTACTTTGGGGTTAATTTTTCCAAGCGAAAGAATGATTATTCAGTTTGATTAGTTCTATTGTTGTCCTACAGTGGCCATGTTCTAATTGATAATCATTCTTGGTGCCCTTGGCAGCATATGGACATTTTTGGATAATATTAACTGGCAATCTGGTTGAATTGTGGTATTTGGCACTTGAGTTTCAGTGAAGCTCATTGGAGGCTGGCTCATTTGAAACATAAGATGTCTGAAGCCAGTGAATATGCTTTGTGGTTGTGGCGTGCTAGATTTTATTGATACATATGTTAATCTATAAGATGCTTTTTGTTATAATCCTGAGTGATTCAGTTTATATCTCGTACTCAGTTTTGGTTACATAGTTCTGGATACCTAAATGAAGATATCTGGCTGGCTATGCACCTCCTTCACCTCAACCTAAAAGTGCTTTCTGAAAGTTGTTTACCTGATCTGCAAAAGGATGAGTTCATACTAAACCGCCATAGTAATAGAAATCAGTTATGTCCTTCATAATTTATTGTTTGTTTCAGTACAATTTTATTCATGCAGGTTCTGTTTCTCCTCGACGACAAAGATTGGACGGTCAGCATGATCTAGATTTTGACAGCTCAATGGGACGACACATTGGTCGTGGTTTCCGAGGTGGCAGAGCAGGTGGCAGGTTTCGAGAGGCTTCACCTGGTTATGGGCATGGAAGGGGTGGAAGGTCAACAGGGAGAGGCTACAATGCATCTAGATGGCCAGTTTCTGATGGAGAATATGTTCACAGAAATGATCCAAACTTGTCCCCCCGGGAAGGTGATTGGATTTGCCAAAACCCCTTGTAAGTTCTCTCCTCCATTGTTTGGTGTTCACTAGTGACATTTATTTAATTTAAACTTCAGGATAGTGTTGGATTTACACTGACTCGGTATCTTATATTTCATCATCTTTTAAATTTTTGGTGTTTTATGGTTCAGATCCTTACAAACTCATGTTAACGTGCTTTCCATGTTTTAGTTGTGGGAATCTGAATTTTGCACGAAGGACTCACTGTAACAATTGCAACAAGTACCGCTATGGACCTGAGCTCGATGGACCCAGCCGTAGTCCTCGGAGGGGCTACTTCAAGTCCCCTCCCCTTCGCGGGTCTCCACCAAGAATCGTAGGTCCAGCCAACCATGGTCTCCGCGATGACTTGGACAGATACAGATCACCACGGGGTTGGGGTGTCGAGGATCTCAGAGACTTTGGACCTAGATCACCACCCCCAGCACGTGGAGGAAAATTTCTGGACATGCGCAGGGAGAGGCTAGACTATCATGATGATCTCGGGTACAGGCAAAGACGCAAATTTGACTGGCCAGCACCTGAATGGGAAGGGAGGGACAGTAATCGAGATGGATTCGTTGCAGACAGAAGAGGTTATGATCGGCGTCCACCATCACCTCGTGGACGGTGGATTTCAAGGGAGAGGAGCCGCTCACCGATAGGAAGCCGTCCACTGAGGGGTGCTTACATGGGTCGAGGGCGAGATGATCGTCAGTACGATTCGCACTTGGGTCATAGCCAAGCTGATGATTTAGGCATTGGTCGTGGGAGGGGGTATCGGCAGGCTGAATCTTTACCAGGCCGAAGCCATATTGATCGACGAGGCATTGCCCGAGGTAGGAATGATGACATCTACTGAGTGGTAGATTAAAAAAAGAAAAAAAAACTGATGGTTCAATTGGCGGAACCGTGTTTTGACAGGTTGCTTTTACAGAGAATTCCTTGTTGCTGCTCCAGCTTAGTCAGTGTTTGTCTATCATGTCTAAGAATTTTGGTGGGTGTAGTTTGTCCAACCTATTATCTAGACCTTCATGACTGTCTTGGAGACCTTGATGGGCCGATTCCAACAGGAAGAATATTTGGTGTATTTTCTTTTTTTTTTTGTTGCGAAATGATGTTTTACATTTTTGTGACCTTGGCGTATAATTTTTGTTCTTAATGTTAGTGGCAGTAGTTCATCTCTTCTGACTGGCTCGGTGTACCATTCGAAATAATGTGTTTGTTGCGAACAATTCATTGAAAAGCATGCTTGAGATTTTATGGCGATGGTGTTGTTTCTTACTGTCTTCATCTTTTGATTATCCTCGTAGTGTGCAAATTGAATACACAAATAGCAGTATTATCAACATGGATTCTTCTTCATGAAAATCCATTGTATCTCGAGACACTGCTTGTAACTGCTGCATTTGGTGGTGTTGGCGTGCAATGGTATATATAACCATGGCAGAAGGAGGTCAACAAAACGATCCCATAAATATGGATCCATCTAGCGCAACATTCCTTTAACAACAAAACAGCTCTTTTTTGTCACCAATATTAGATGTTTGTTTCATACATAGAATGATGCAATGATAGGAAATCAAAACAGTGATAGAATAACATAACGGACCTGAGTCTTTTTTTTTTTTGTGATTTATTTGGGAACTTATGAGAAGATTTGTTAGGCAATTAACATATGCCATGTTGGTTGGGTTTGCCATTGTGGCAGCTCCGATATATTACACGTAACTATGTTTCCTTTATGGCTTATCTTATCGGTCCATATCGATATATCAATCGATCATCGATATGATACATATTGAATCATATCGATATATCGATAGATACATTAAGATATACCAATGAATTAGTATATATCATCCATACCGATCATCTGTCGGATTGATACATATTGTCTGTACTGAGCGGCAAGCCATAGTACGACAAACCTGCAGTACTCTTCAGTTAATATCTTTAACATCTCCATAGGAAGTCCCCTAGAGTTTTGAATTATAGGATGGACTACAACATTTCAATGAATCTTCAATTTCTGTGAGAAGGAAGCCTTGGAGTTGTGCAAGTAAACCTAAAACCAGATATGAGTCAATTTTCTTCTTTTTCGAAGCGCTTCCGGTGGATTTTTATCACATCTGTCCTGAATGGATGCAAAATAATCCCTTAGTGATCATGTTCCAAGAGCAATTCAATATGAAGCTTCAAAGTAAAGATTTGAATTCAAAGTCAAGTAACCAAAAGTAAATTAAGCTTTCAGTACAAATTTTGCAGTAAACAAGGAAAATTTAAGTGGATATAAGACCATTACGAGGTAAATATGGATACTAACACAAAGCCAGAGCTCAGAGCATAAGATTCTCTTAACTAGTATATTAAATACTTGCAAGATAGCTATTGAGCTACATGGCACATTAGAAGCTTACATGATGTCCATCCCATCATAAAATGATGATGGAAGAGCAAAAATTGGTGCACTATGATATACATATTATTTAGATGGCTCAGGGAAGTTTAATGGATTAACAAAAAACTTGAAGTAAACACACTATACGATCACAAAATTGCTACACCTGATAGATTTGGCTATAAAGCGTTCAAATGACGGGTGTTCCCTGTTGATCCAACTCAAGTTAAATCCATTTTCAGGCAACCATTTTTGTGCCTAAACCTAACTGCATGTCAATCCATCACCAAATTCACGTGATCTATTTTTAAGTTCTTGGAGTTGTGAAGATTAACAAATTGGCTTCCTTTTTTGCTTCATTATCATAATAAGCACAGTTCAGAGAAGTGCTGCCATAGTTCTTCCATCAGTTGTGAACAATAATATATAAAATTCTTCAGTCCCAACAGTATCTAACTGAGTGTGGTCTAACAAAAGAAAAAAAAACATTATCTAATTTAGTGTGTGGTCTAACAGTCAATCATTTGATAGTGCTCTGACAGATCACAAATTCCCAAGACTGTTTTTTATTGATAACCTTCTTTTGCTTTCCAAAGGCTCTAACAATGTCACAACAATAAGGTAATGCAATATTTTCTTGAGATATAAAAGTCACCAAGAAAATGCCCTCCACAACTTAAAACAATGTTGTTCTCCACAAAAATATGTAATAGTCTGGTAACTTACATCAGAAATCACATTTTTGGTGACTGCTTGCTGGTAAGATCGACCAGTATGGACAGATATATTGTTATATACCAACATGAAATAGAAAGTCAAGGAGAGAACATAAACTCAACATTTTAATTTCTCTCTCAAAGACAATTTGTTAGCAACTACGACAGAATCTGAGTGTGATAAGTTTTACAAAATCAAAAACCAAATGACTTTAAAACCAAACAATCTATACATCATATTCTAATTGACATCTCAATTATACCTTATTTAAGTTTTGCAAGTCATTGTGGTTTAGGGTCTCAACCAGCATTTAATCCATCAGACATTGGTGCTCTCAAACGTCAACATATAAGTATGATCAAAGTTAACATATTTAAAGAAAGCCCACAAGGGGGTAAAATTATAATAGATTATTTACAACAAAGAAAGATACATTGTAACTTAACAATTATTAAACATGTCATGGTTAATTATTTTGCAAAAGTATAGTGGCTGAAATCTGAACCATAACATCGAAATTTTTCCAAGATTGACATCAATGATAAAACATCAAAAAAAGAAACAAGTATAATACTTGTATAAGGCACAATATAAAGAAACAAGTTGGAAAGAACGCTTACCATGTAACGAATTCAAAGTACACAAGTATCTAGTAACCAAAAACAGCCAATACAAAACATACAATGCAGATTTGTAACAAAAATGTACTTCAAACTTTGTAAGTCAATATCGATATACCTCTTCAGCTTTCCACTATCCTTTCATTGTGCAATGTGTTGGACAAGTGGTCCTCCTGCAAAAGAAAAAAAAAATGATAAATAAGCAAAACGCTATTCTTGTGTCTAACACTTAACAGCCCAAGAGAAACAACTTGTTGTAACCAGACTAACTCAAAGCAATAACAGTAACTAATAAAATGTGCTGATTACTTTTGTCCTTAACACCTAAACATATCTGCCAAATTACAGTCTCAAAAAACAAAGAAGAACTTTAAAAAATATGAGCAATCAAAGACCTCTGCTTCCAAGATTCACCACCGTTTGCCTCTTGAACAGCAATAGAAAAAAGGCACTTCACCTTCTCCCACACTCCTTCCCGTTTCCCTTGTCTCTTGTCATGTTTCTTATATTAATAAATGAAGAGAGATAATTAGTCAAATTCTGCAAAGATGGATTTGCAAACCAATTACCAATAACCCAACTTCACAAGAAAAAAGTTACTTCAGATCAAGAAAGCAAAGAAACTGCAAAACAAGTTAATATTATAGCTAATGATTTTGAATTAACAAGCAGAAAGCTATCCATATCAACATTCTAAAAGAATTACCTACAAGAAAATCCTATCATGAACAACACAATCTTAGCAATAAAGATCATCGTTAGCGTTGGCATGACAAGAAAATTCCAATTGGTGAGCGCCGTTTACGAGTTCGAATCAGAATCAAAATAAATAACCGATAAATTTCAATGAAGAACCCAATCTTCCATGGTCCTACGAACAAGGAGAAGGTTCTCGATGGCTTCTAATCATTGGAACTTACATGTTCCATCAAACAAACAGTTTATGAACAAGGTGAAGGTTCTCGAATGGCTTCTAATCATTTGAACTTACATGTTCCATCAAACGGACAGTTTCGGCTTCAAGAGCCCAAATCAACAACAAACTACCCAAAAGGACCCAAATCCCGAAAGAAAAGACCAAAGAACTCAAAGAGCAAACCCCGAATCGAAACCCTAACTGAAGACCGTGTCGATTAAACCTGAAACAAGAAACAGGGTGAAAGAATCATCCAAGAAATGCACCTCTCCAACCAAACCAATGTGATCGAACGGCGCTGGATCGAGTAATCGGCAGCACATTCGAGATCGCTACGCGTTCCTTCGAATCGCCAGCGACGGGGAGAGCAAGAGCGTGGGAGTGGCCGATTTGAAGAGCCGCGTCTTATAATCTTCCATCAGAACTAAATCGACGGAAATGATTCGCCCACGTGGAAGAATAGTGATATCATACCCGTCCATTGTTCGCCACGGCTGCCGAACCTTTCGATCACAATCACGACACCGCTTCCAGACGACTCCAATCACGGCAGGAGACGAAGGTCAAGCCGTCACTTAAGTCGTACATCCGGTCAACGTACGGTCCGACCGTTCGATAATCATACTCACGATACGACTCGGGTCACCGCTGGAGAAGAAGGTCCAGCCGTGGCCTAAGTCGTGGATTGTGCTTCTCGGCCACAGGTGTCCGTGTCCAGCTCGTGGATCCGAGTGGTGCATGAGAAGTCGTGAATCGAACTCAGAACTGCTGTGTAGAGTGAAACACACGATAAACAAGAATCAACACAATTTTCTGCTATTAAGAATAGATTCTGCAGATCACAAACCTACAGCTATTTTGTTACAACAAAGAAGACAATCAAATTACGACTGTTGTCTAACATCTCACTCAGAACTGCTGTGCAGAGAATTTGATCAAGAAGACAGAGAAAACACGCTACAGAGTGTATTTTCTCGGGAGCTTTATTGAATGCAAGCATTGATAAATCATGGAGGTTCCTCTGCTCACAAAAAGTGATACGGAAAAAAATCTCTGATCGATTTTTGATGTTGATGCTACGCTTTGTACTTGCAGAGATTCTCGAAGCCCATGTACTCATGATGCTGGATCTTCTGAACCATGTTCGATATGCCGACTCCACCTGTTAATTATCACAAGACATACTTTTAGTGCCAAAGTAAACTGCAGCAATTACCAATGGTCGTATCAAAAATGAATTAGACAATGAACGATGAGAAGTATCTCCTTACCCAACGAGATTGCACTAACAAAAATTGTGGAAGCGAGGATGAAGATGATGAGAGAAGCTCGTCCTAGTATTTCGATCAGTCGCTTAACGACATGCTGACCCACAATGGCAGCAACTAATGCCACAGCCACCAAATACAATGCTGCTCAATTAAGAGGAAGAACGTATGTATTATTAGTCAAGAGAGTACGAGTGAATTGCTGTGTGATGAACTCGAGTTTGCATTGCATGCGGTAGGAATTGAGAGATGCAGAACATTATTACCGT